AATAGGCGACTTCTAAAAATGGCGGAAAGTCGACTAAAAGTCGACTTATAAAAGTCGATTTTCCGTCGACTTTTATAAGTCGGCTTCTAAAAATGACGGAAAGTCGACTAAAAGTCGACTTCTAAATAGTCGACTATAAAAAGACGGAAAACTGCAGTCAAGCGGCGCGTCATGCATCATCAATATGGCGGCGAATCTCGAGGAGGCTGGAGGAGAAAATTAATGTTTACGCGAGTGCAAGGAATACATGCCGCGAGACAGGACACGATAAGATGTCGAAAAGCGCCGCGCTATCAACCACCGCCACGAAACGTCGTCGTCGTCGTCATCATTGTCTTCCCGTTGACTTCCTCGATTAGATCAAAATACTGGAATTTGACTGTATGTATGTTGCAATATGTTTGAGACGGTTGTCTACATTGTCTACAACAAGAATTGTTACAGAATACCGTTACCAACCGACATGGAAGCGAAATTGCTGCGCCAGATAGTTCTTGCAGGTATGGCGGATTTAAAAGAGGATCAGGATAAGGCCAAGTGGAAACATGCTTTAGAGGTTAGGTATGGTGTGTTATTAATTATCATCGATAATTAAGACCTATTGAATGCGACCTCTCCATTCTGAACCATCTTTCAGAACACCATCAGAAATGGAGGAACCTGTGTTCATGCATTCTTCGTGCGTTTTACGGAAAATCAGTCCGGAATAGGTGGTTTATAAAGAGGTGTACGAAACGAATAAGATGTATATGCGAGGTGTCACGGCGATAGAACCCGAATGATTGCCGAAATTCGCTTCCACGCTATGCCATCTTAGTGAACCATTCGTTGATCCACCGCCAAGGTATTTTTATCACAATTGTTGCTTTATAATGTTTTCCCTATTTATTTATAAAGATATTAATCTTCATTATGATCGAATATTATTCTCATTTATAGATATAATCAAGGAACCGGGAAAATCATTTGCCGCGTGTCTGGTACATTTGTAAAGGCCGGATGGGCACTACCATCGATGGATATAGAGCATCTGTAGACGGTGTAAAATGGTTCGCGTATTTCTTCTTGGAGGGTCAAGTGTACCCTAAGCTGAAACGATTTGTTCCGTCGCTGCTGACGACACCTGGGAGCATCACCAAGTCATAGGCCAGGTAAATCGTTATTCTATCTCCTTTCGATTTCACGTTGATTCATCGAATAGATTACATCAATTCAATACGATTTTTTCAGGTTGATACCACGCACTCAAGCAATAGTACAAACGCTGCAGTCGCAGGGAGTCGTGTCCAAATACAAACTGCTAGAAATCTGGGGTTTGGATAAAAAATGTGAGATTTTAATTTATAAAATAATATTTAGATATTATCATAGAGTAGACTTCTATACAATACTAGACCGCTGACAGGCATCTCGGCCGTGATGCTTGCCGCCATGTTGATTTTAGTCAAGATA